ATTATTCAGTATATGTATATTATATTTAGTATATTATTTGTAATTTTCTTTATTATTTTTGTATATATTTTTTCATAGGGCATGTAAGTATTACTAATTTACATTATACAAAGCCCAAATCTGGATGATCCTCGCGATAATAGCCCTAGCGTGACTATCGTCAATGCATAGGGCTATTATTTTCACTCAGATTTCTTTATTAGATTTTATGAAGATACATTATAAGAAATAACAGAGGATTGTTTAGGTTACAGTTGACAGTGCGGGTGCTATTCTAAAATCCCATTCTTGTTGAGGTGTTTTGTAATATAGGTGAAACTGATATAAGGTATAATGCTAGTGACTGTGATAACCACCCTCCAATACTTATTATTTGAGGGAGTGTTAGCCCAGCCTTCATAGCTTCTGTCGCACCTCCTATGCATATACTGTAGCCCAAATACTTACTCTTCAACTTCACATGTTGCGCCACTCTTTTCACTGCTCCATTCACTGTTCCTGTTGTCATGCGCTTACCAAATATACTTAGAAATAGTGGGTCTTTATCTTTTCCTAACTTCCTTAGCTCTAAATACTTATACACCAGCCTTACTGGGCAGTATGGGGAGTTTGTAGGCTCAATTGGGATGAATTTTCCTTTTGCAAGCTGGTCAGTTTTTGATTTATTTATTCTAACCCAACAGATCTCATTTTCCATTTTCAGGTCTCTTATTAGCAAGTTACAAAGTTCTAATGGGCGGCACATAGTGTGGAGACCAAGTGCTATCATTGCACAATCATGTTTCCAGATTACATTTGATGTGCAAGTAGAAGGGTTGTTCACATAAGTCTTTAATGCCTCTACAGGTAAGGGGTCATGAGGCCAGGTTGCTTTGTGATCCACTGCTGCAAGCTTCATCAGGTTTTTTTGTCAGTGCCTGAACATCAAAGTCTGTAGTAGGGTCAGAAAATCTCATCTTTTTGTGAAAACAGCTTATTGCAATTAAATACATCTGTAGTTTCATTGACCGATCCAAAATATTTTTTAATACTAAAAATATCATAATAGATTCAGGATGTGCTGGGCAAGGATATAAGTTATAAAACCTACAAAATGTAGCAAATTTGTCCCACAGAACTTGAAGATGCCTTTCATAGGCTGAGCTTGGTAGTAGGTATTTTTGTGCTTTTGCTAGTAGTGTGTTCAAAAATGGATCCTCACTGCTTGAAAAGTCCAATATGTGATTTTCCATGGCTCTGGAATCATATTTGATCCTGGGCTTGGTCTGAAGTTTATAGTAGCCTGGGATAGATCTATAAATTCTGCATTTTGTCAAAGCAGAACTGGCCACCAGGATGCAGAAGTCCATACTGGGATTATTAGAGTCATCTGTGCCTGATACTCTATTCTATGCTCAAATATTTTGTGGATCAGACCCAGGAGGGAGCATACATAGTTGTTCTCGCTTTCCCAATTTTGGGTAAAGCAATCTGTCACCTCTGCTTCTGGACAGTGAAAGCAGCTGTTGAATCAAGGTACTTTTCTTGTATGGTAACTTGCTATATGGTCTATTGTAAATGGCCCCCATATGTTGTTTATTTTCTGGAATAGGTCTGGACAGAGTGACCAGTCTGATTCATCGATCATTCTTGTTAATTCATCTGCAGGGTTCATTTCGGATAGGACCCACTGAAATTCATGAATCTGTACATCTTGTTGGTCACAAAGGTTTCATACCTCCTGCATGATTTCCTTCTATCAGTGCCTTTTGCCTCCAGCTTCTACAGTCTTTCAGGCAACCCGATTGTCTATAAAAATAGTCACCCAACGGTGTGTTATGATCGAAGTGAAGGCCTTAAGACTCAACAAAACTGCTATTGACTCCAGTAGTGCAATATCTGTGCATCTGTGTCTGTTTTCCCATTTTCCAACAGCCCGTTCCTGCCCTAGGGTTGCTGACCACCCAATTGTGGATGTATCTACATATATTGGAATTATTTGAGGTGGTTTCCAACCTAATCTTCCATTTTTCTTTTTTAGGTTCTTTAATACCCAGCATATATCAGTAAGTGCTTGTTGTGTTAGGCACACCAGATTGTTCCATTCCCAGGGGTTCCTGTTTTCTGCATCGATAATAGCATAAAGCTCTAAACAATGGACTTTTGCATATACGAATGCTTGGTTTAGGCTTATAAGTTTTCCTGTTGCTGAGGCCAAGTGATGAACTGTTATCACCTTTTCTGATAGCAGGCTTCCCAATGCCTGTAATGTTAAGTTTATCTTGAAGTCTGGTGCTAATACAATTCCTGTTACCATATTCAGTATCATTCTATAGAATTTTAGTTGCTGTGTCGGGTTGAGATGGCCTTTTTCTGCTAGTATGAACCTACAATTTCTCAGATCTGTAAGTATAATTGAATCTCTTATTTGTATTAATGTATAGTGGCAGGGGTGCACCACCCAGATATCGTCTATATGATTCCTACAGGTAATTCCACTTAATCTCCAATGTCCTATCAGTGATTTCATTATCTTCGAGAATACCCATACAGCTTGGCTTAGCCCAAAGTGCAAAACCTGATAGTGATACCACTTGTCCCTGATCTGAAACCCCACCAGTTTCTGTGCACTCTCATTCATCATCACATGGTGGTATCACTTCTTCAAGTCCAAAACAATTACCCACCAGTTTCACTCTACCATACGTAGAAATGTCCCAAATCCTTCGACTTAAATGTTTTTTCTGATAACATTGCATTTAGGCATCTGAGATCGATTACTAGATGCCACTTCTTGGGGCCTGGCTTGGGGTCAAGAATATAGGGCTCACTTCTAGCAAATGTTCGAGTCTTTGTTTTGACTGTGCTACTGATATAACTGCCTTTATCTCCAAAAGTCTCTCTATTTCTAGATCCAACTATAGTTGCTGTTCTTTTGTAAGTGGGTACTGAAATAGATCTGGTTGCATTGATAGTTCTATTAGTCCTTTTGGAAATAGCAGGATCCTATTCTTGAGCCAGCTTATAATAAAGTTTGAGGCATGAATCTTTTCCTCCCAATATTTAATATATTTGTCTATATATAGATGCCCTATTACTGGTATTTGTTGCTGAGCCTGAGTGTAGTCAATCATCCTTTGTGCTTTCTTGTTGTTTGATAAATCTGTTTTTATATGTTGCATATCCACGTGATCGGTAATTAAAGGTACTTTCACTTGGGACGAAAGGACAGATATTTGCAAAATGTTCAAGGCCCCCACAGGTATAGCATTTGCTTGAGGAAGCCAAGGCACAGTTTTGAGGTTGGTTATATGTACGAAAGGATTGGTTGGAATTTGAATTGTTACTTTTATAGGTTTCAAGATAATTATACCCCCTTTGATAATCGGTTTTTCTCAAATTTTGGGTTTTTTGTCGTTTACTTCTCTTGATGTCTGCCAGATTTTTTGCTTTTTCAATTAGATCATTCTTTCCTTTTAGCCACTCATCTTGTGTGTCGGATAGGGCAGATGCAATTTTCCATCTATATCCTTCAGCTACCTGTAGTGTAAACATTCTATTTGCAATTTTTTTCGAGTGCTATCTATATGGTTTATGGCATTATTTACATTTCTTGATTCTACAGCTAGATTAAGTTTTTTTTCCACCAGGCGTAATGTGTTATACTCATGTTAGTCTCAGAATCTTTCAAATTTGTGAACTGGCCAGGCATCATTTATTTCTACCCTTTAGTGGGTATCTTGTATCTGGATGAATACTGAGTTTAACCTATCATTAAATCCTAGGATTGCTGTCTCTAATTTTTTAAACTCCAATATCATTTTGTGTTCTAAGGCACCTGGGTCTTCGTTATTATTATCATTTTGATATCGGCGTTTGTTTGATTTTCTTGGTATTTCGTACTTATCCTCCACCATTTGGTATTGAAAATTCTGCCCTTCTTCATCTTGGGTATCTATTTTTGATGATAAGACCTTGGTTTTTTCTCTTGATTTTTGAACCATTTCTCTTAATGTTCTTATTCGAGAGTCAAGTTCGTGTACTTCATTTTCTTCAGTTGGGTGTTCTGAACATATTGACACATTATTTTCATAAGACATCTTGCTTTGTTTCTTAGCATGTTCATAGAAAACCCCCTTATTTTTTGTATTAGATCAGCCTTAGTCCCTTCTGTTAAGATTTCAAGACTACAGCAAATTGCTTCCAGGTCATTCTTCATGAGGTTTGTGTCTTACATAGTCTTCTGCTTTTCCTTTTTTTTTTTTTTTTTTTTTTGTTCTATTTTTGAAGTTACGTCAAAATGAAAAAGCCAGACCAGAAGTCAGGCAGTAAAAAGAGTAGATGAAATAGGCAAGCGAAGTAAAAAAGCACTAGCCCTCTCTAAACTACATCCACATATAAGTATTACTAATTCACATTACACAAAGCCCAAATCTGGGTGATCCTCACAATAATAGCCCTAGTGTGACTATCATCAATGCATAGGGCTATTATTTAAAAAGTGCTGAATATAGATTTTGTTGTGGAATGTATCGTTTTGGTTGGTGCTATCAGAGTGGGATTAGTGTAGAAAAGAGTAAAAATATGGCAGTTGAATGGTATTTAAAATCAGCAATTACTGAGCATAAATGTATTTATGATAATACCTATTTCTGATGAATAAAATACGGCAATTTTAAAAATATTGAAGAAGTAGGTAAAGGTGGATTTTCCATAGTGTATAAAACATCATACAAAAGACAATATGGAACACATGAAGAAGTTGCAATTAAGATAATAAATAAGGTATATTTATTTTTGTTTATTAATTAATTTGTTAATTAAATATGCCTTGTTTATGAATTAGTTAAAGGCGTATCACATATTTGGAAAATATAAAGGCACATCAATGGATAAAACAATATAGGAGATTTTATTTTAGTGTTAAGTTACATAAATTTTGGATCATTATGTGATAATCTTAATGATATATTTAAATCTGAGTGGACAATTAAGTTTAAAATATTATGCAATATCATTAATAATCTATCAAATATTCATTTGAAAAAATTTATACATCGAGATTTACATTCAGATAATATTTTGATAAAAGAAGGATATGATGCTTATATTACAGATTTAGGATTATCAATATTGTTTGATGAAAAACAAAATAGTTACATTTATGATGTTTTTCTGTATTTAGGCCTGAGATCTTAAAAGATAAACATTTTACTCAATCTGCTAATATTTATAGTTTTCGAATTGTTATGATAGAAATATTAACTGATCGAAGATATTTCGATGGTTTTAATTTTGATGCTGAATTAGCTGTGATGATTTGTCATGGGTTATGATCTGAGTTTATTATAAAGACACCAAAATGTTATGTTCAATTAACCAAACAATGCACTAATTCAGATATGAAAAAAAGATCTATAGCTGTTAAAATTATTAATAATCTTGAAAAATGAAAAAACATTATCACTGATGATAGTAATGTTAAATTTGATATAAAAATAGGATCTACTGCTGTTAGAATTTTTAACAAACTTAAAAAATGGAAAAAAATTATACTAATTTATGAAAGTAATGCTAAATTAGACAAATAATATATTTATTCAGATGAAGAGATCAAACAGAAATTTTTAAAAGCTGATGAATGAATTAAAGAATTGCCAATTACTTCACAAACTTATGATAATATGATGTATATTTTTAAGTTTATTGATACGAAAGAAATTATTTCAGAGATTGGATTAATTGATAATATTAATAGCTTAAGATTTTATAAATAACAAGATTAAAGAATATTTTAATTTTAAAAATGTATGACTTATATTAATAGATTATAAAAAATAGTCATTTTTTTAGAATATTGTTTATAATTAAAATTATGATAAAAACATATAAATTTACTATAAACTTTGAGCTAAAGATTTTTCAACTTAAACTAATTTAAAATTAAAATTTGCAACTATATAGAATACAAGAAAAAATTTTTAACTTAAAAACTAAGTTAAAATTTTGTTAATTTTGCCTATTTTTTTTTTTTTTTTTTTTTTTTTTTCCTCTTAGGCAGCCTTGCCGATTACCTTTATTAAGATTCTTGTATACATGTTATACAAAGTTGGCTTAAATTTTGGTTCAATATCCCCCGGCTACTTCTATGAGTGCCCAGGAGCAGTCTGCCGCACAGGCCAGGTGATTATTCCTGGCCTGGGGCTATACCAAGCTATCCAGTAAAACCCTGAAAAAAGGGTCTTACATTTCTATTTACAAAACTAAAAACTGAACCGAGCCATGTTTCCTGAAT